ATATATATATATATATATATATATATATATATATATATATATATATATATATATATATATATATACCACCCGTGTAGTAATCTATTGACACTTGCCAGGGATGTTCCCCTCAGGGTAGATAAGCTTAAACTCTTGTTCCAAAGGAGTCGGCTAGACTGCAGGCGTCACTCTGTCAGCCTAAGAGTTTGTAATACCTGGAACCCTCTTCCACCTCATGTTGTTTGTGCACGAACCATCCAGTCATTCAAGCTTCAATGGCTCGATGAAACATTCAACTACAGCTAACTGTTCAGCACCCGTGAGTGAACGTTAGAAATTTGTTATTCAATTGTACCGCCAACCGAACCCAGTGTGTACAAAGATCCTACAAGATTCAATAAGAATCAGCTTTGTTATTTACCTATATTAAAAATTTGAAACAAAAACAAATTGAAATAATATATTCATTAGCAAACCAGTTGCTCGATCCATATATTGATTTCTGGAATTTAAACTACTGGGAGCAATAACCGGGTATTTGTGAGACCAGGATACGAAAAACAGTCAACCGAATACCTTCTGTCTTTTAAGCGGCAATGCGAAAAACTGCTCCAAGTGGACAAACAAGGACGAGTAGGGGATAGTTAACTAAAGTGTGGGTGAAAATCATTTGAAACCCACGTGAGCATCATCTTGTGCGCCTGAGAAGTAAAGTATTTAAGCCAATCACAAGTGTAGTTGTGTTACCCCTTGTTCACTCTGATCACATAGTACTTGTAACCAAAGCGATCCGATCGCGGTAGAGAATTTAAATAAGATGGTCTGGAAACGTGTGATTCTGTAAGCTAGCCACAGTGAAACAAGTCAGTATCCGTCTTTGCAACTTTCTCAGTGTGCTCAGAAATCATTTCTACATGCAATCATGCTACATTGGGGTTGGATTTCCGACAATGGACCGGCATAAAGAATACTATATTCCCAGATGAATAAGTGAAAGAAAATCAATGAGACAAATTAATTAGAATAGAGAAATGTATGTGAACAACACGTCTTTGAGTTTGTCGGTGAGTGGTCGCGCAGAACTTGACTGACATAATTCAGACTTGATCTTTACTCACACTCATTTGTTCACCCATTAAAACCGATGGAAGCGAGCATCGCGCAACTAAAGAAGTCCTATAATTGAGGTTCACTATCGTCCAAATTGATGAGTAGGGAAAAATTAAACGACTCGTTCCGATACTGTCAACATATCCGTCTTCTGCGTGACGTATCCAGAGTTCAAACCTGTACCGCGACGATGAATGGGCATCGATGAACTAATAACTTGTTAATTAATTAATTAATTAATTAGTACTGTGCCTTTTGAGTGTATGGTTGAATAGGTTATTTGCTTTCCGTGGGCAGAGTAGCAGTCTAAGGCGTGCTCGGTCCAGTTAATTACAAGAGTCGATGACAAACATCAAATTCGAATCAAAAATTAACATCCCGAGAAACTTCAGCAAACCGATCATCCAACAAATATTTCAAATAACAACAGGATACACAATAAGCCAGCACTGACATTTCACACTTGACCATATTAGATAAGTCTCACAGATTAAGGGAGTTTGAACGTTTATTTTAATGACAAACCTCATCAGATCGTGCATGGTTTGTAGATCCTTTACTTTCTGATGATCCCGTTGAAACATTTTTGCGCGCGCATTTTTGTTGTAATCATAATGGTCTCCGAACCGAGCCATTTTCTCCGGTATTCCACTCAGATTGCTCACAACCGGGAAGTAACTAGAGGAAACCGATCCGGGAAAGAGTTAGCTGTGTGAAATAGATTGAGTACATGTACGTGAAAAAGATAGTCAAGTAGAATATTTATCTAAAAGCATTGGTCTTGTTCTATGGCGACACCTGAAACTTTCGCCACATGTAGCGCTTGGAGCCTCATTATCGGGTGCGGATTTATTATTACGACAAATCATAAACAACATTCCTGCAGTGATCAACACAAATAAGTTTTCTTCCGGATGTCTTATGAACATACGGTTAGTCGAGTTCAACGCTGGTTGGTGGCACATCTCATTAGAAGAAACTGGTACGTCAATTTCATCCACGCAACTCGGACTGTCTTCCGCATTAGTTGTATGAAGATTTTCTCAGTTGCCATCGAATAAAATTATCGTATTGTTTTGATTCGATCGGTTTTCTTCCTGCGTCAAAACTTCCCCTGAATGCGTGGTAAATTATACTTGTGCTCACCCAAGAGTACGTGCNAGGGGGGGGGGGGAGAGGAGGCTCAGATTGTGGATTTATATCTCCTTTCTAATACTTTGCTTCTCCGCTTCGATTGCATACCGAACACTGTTGAATATTTTATCTGGCTTGGTTACGTTAGCCAACAAGCAGCATTCCTGGAGGTCGGGTTTTGACGTTCACTTTTCACATATTATCGGATTTGTTTATACTCCCTTCATAGTGAGAAATTTCAAATGAGCAGTTTGCAGCCACTTGAATTTTTTAATTTAATTATGTAAATAATTGCGGGCCATTACACGGGTAAATACGTGCTACGTGTAATAACTGGATTATTCAGAATGAACAAACTTCGTGCTGCTTTGCACAAAATATTTTCCAATTCGGAGCCACGACGTTTGAAAGACTACAAAGTGCATCAGGACAATCAAGATCGAGTCAACGCAAAAAGTGAGTTTAAAATAATGAAGAATATTATAGCTGGAGATAAAGTTAGGAATAAATACTCCTAATCGATGGATATCAATATTGAAGAATGATGTTGGAAACTGAATTTAGGGTCTTGTCACAGGAGTTCGAACAATACCTTTGTTTGTGAAAACGTTCCTGCGCAGCAAGAGTATCGATTCACTACAGTTACAGTGATTAGGAGCCCTCCTCAAATGCAGTCAACGTTCATTTTCAATATATCATAGTTCTATCGATGTTAGCACACTCTTAATTCCTTAAATAATCTCGTAATGTCGGGCGAGAGTAATCTATAAATAAATTATGATTTCCTTCTGAAGGAAGTACTTAAGTATTAATCATGAAAAAAAAGTTACAAGAAAACCAAATAAAATAGAATAGACATAAAAGTCCTCTCTCGATGTCAATAATTTTAGAGAATAGTTCATCTACCGTAGTGTACCACACCCTGCGGGCATAAATAAGTGGTGGTATCTACGTTATGGTTGAATTATTCCCGTTTTTGGAATACTCTTGTTTGATCTACTCAAATAACTATGAGTAGTCAAATCGATGAGAGGCAAATCTGCACACTTTATTGCGCTACTCGCACCCGATGACCAGAACAAATATGTGGCATGAATAAACAAATATTTACTTACGGAAGATTATAACTTGGCCAGTATGTCTGGGAAACGAGCAGCTTTGTTTTATCCTCAGCCCAAACCATACCACTGAAAATGAAATGTAAAGTTTGTAAAGTTTGAAATAATATGACACTGTTTCCATAAATCTCTACTGGCACTTCAAAATTATATTGAACGTAGACTGTAACCAATAAATTGGATAATCCAAAAACAGGTGAAACGCTTTTGCAGTACTTTTCAATCTTAGGATGTGGTAACTACTGCGACTGATATACCAATAATAGATGCATCTTGAATGGAAAAATAAATGTTCATCGCATATTCCAGAAACTCCCATTGCAGAAGGAGTGCCGGTTTGGAAACCAAAAAATTGTTTAGCGTCTTGCAGTTCAGGAACACATGTTAAGAGCATGAAATAAAATGAGAAATTGACACAAACTCGCTGTTATAAGTGGAGTTCGTTGAACAGATATCTAGTTACCTGATGAATCATTCAAGAAGGGTATGGTGTCAGAAGGTTAAGCATTATGTCATTGCACCATTTCATGTCAGAGTCACGTGATCATCAGCGAGTAATTCAGAGTTATCACTGTTTCTCATCCAGATGTTTTTTCTCTGGGGCATTTAAACATTTGTGAAATTTTCTACAACGAGATAAATGCACTGCGATGATTGGAACAGTTTCAACAAAGGGGTCTGCCTTGTAAACCAGAGGCAATTGATCTTGAAACTGTTTCCTATCGAACGAGACACCTGATACATGAAATTATTTATTTATTCATTCAGGTAATGAACACAACGCCCGGTACTTACAATAATCTGGATTTACGGTACAAAATAAGTACTTAAATCAGCACAGATTTAAACTATCATATCAAAATTGACTGCTGCTACTGATGCTGCCGTAAAAGGTTTTCAAAGTAAATGCATCCAATTTATTTAATACAATTTTAATTACTTCTTCAACATCTTTCTTGATTTTTTATTCTAATGAGCTGTATATCACTTGCACTAGGAATTTTTCAGGAAGCTTTCTTGGGTTATTTGAAGAGCATGTTATTTTTAAGAAAAGATAGATCCAATTTCAAACTAGGAGATAGGCTTGACCCATTCAAATTCGTCCTCAAATTTGAGCTAATGATTCGCTTTTTACTTCATTCATCCTTTTTTTGAATTCACGCGTGAAGTTGAATGGAAAATATCATTCCATTAATAAACGCAAGTAGTTCCAATAAATCAGCCAAGTCCGTACGGCGGTATGTTAAACCGTTCAAAGCGAATACATTCTTATTGAAGTCAATAATCCATTTTTAATTTTTTTGGGCGGGGGTAGGATAGTGTTTACGGTTTGAATCTTTATACTTTTACTGACTTCATGTTAAGATGTATTTAAATTTAATTCTTTTTTCCTCGGGCTTAGTAAAGTTGAATGCTACCAGACGCGTCCCCGGGGTTGTGGATAGGGGGAATACCTTCACTGAAGAAGGTTAGCTGTGAATAAATTGTGGCACACAGCAACAAATAAGCAGTCGCGAACAAACAGCGGTGACACTACCAAGGTGTGGTGGGTTTCAGCCAGGTCACCTAGCTCCTGTTTAAAAGCTGCATCAGCCCAACGACGGTGTTGCGACAAAGGTTGATGTAACTGGCCTTTAAAACTAAAGTCATTGACCCCCTCACTTCCGAGATGAGGGATTACTTCCAGCTGCCTTGCAGTTCGCACTCGGTTGTGCAAAGGCTAGAGGTGCGCCCTCAAAATAAACAATCGCCGAGTGACGCTGGGGACGTCTTCCATACCAAACTCCCAAGGAACTTCATGATCATGGTCATGTCTGGAGCCGGCATATCCTTTCCAAGGAGCCAGCTGCACTAAATTAAATACCATCGAACAGACATTCACTTTCCCAGTTGGCTTGCTTATAGCTTTAGTGATAAGAAACTCAGGTTACTGTATGGGGTACAAGCAGTCGTACGAATAATAACCGACAGATATTGTTAGAACAACCAGAGAGAGGTGGTATGTTGAAATAAAATGTGCCAGGTTAGTCCCATATCTGCTATCGAATTAAGCCTTCAGGTTGTGACATATCATAAAGTTTAACAAACGGAGGTTAAAACACACAAACCTGTACATAAAAATACAATTTATCATTTACTTTGGTGTGCATAACAAATTCATTCACGATGTATATATATATATATTCCTTTATCGGTCTTTTAATGGACAGCGCATAGTAACTCTCGGCGGTCCATTTGATAAACCAAACTCTGCTGTCTAGCAAGATTCCTAAGGCAACTGGTGTGTGCCTATGTGTTGAACCTGAGAAGATAGATATTTCCACAAAGAAGACCAAAAATGAAAAGTGAACTTCACGAAAACGTTTTCCTTTCACGATTGTAATTAACAATTGGTTGCAATTACAAGAATTTTAGTTACATGCAGTTGATGTTGCGATCAGTGCTTGAGAACCCTCCGTACAGTCGTTTGCAGCATAAGAAAATACTGTGTGTAATCAAATGTGAACAATAACATATCAACCGTGCGACAATTTTGAGAGAAAACATTATGTTTAGCAATGCACTCACGGAAGTTGTTCCACTACTACGAGTAAACCTTTGTCTGGCAACGGTTGGTTCTTCGTGTAAAGCTTTGTATCGACCACCATCCACTCATTATTATATCTACAAAGAAAATAAAACTAGCTCAGTTTTATTCAATACCTTTAAATTGTTTCATTGATGTCCTGATATTAAAATCAATTTCCAGTATTTCTGTAAACCTCTCTCTCAGTTGTACGCTGTCAAATCAACGTCACATTTGGTTCAGATTACAAGACATTACAAGATAGAGTGAATCTCGAAACATTTGAATTCATGTCATTAAGCCGATACAGACTGGAAGTAAGTTCGCGCGATTTTACAAATAATGATTTTTGCATACTATTATTATTTTCTCAGGAATTAGCTGTCTTCTTCAGGTGAAATAACAGACTATTTGAAAGAAAGCAGCTATAATCTACCTCAGAATTTGTTGGTTTCAACTGATCTTCCATCATACTTCATTTTATTGCACAACCATCTAGACCCCGTACTCTATGTTCTCTCTCATTGGAGCATCATTAGTGCATATTCACTCTGTCATTCAGATTTTGAACTCTGAACCTGTCGCCTGAAAGTGATGTTGGTTATCAACATGGCAACCAGCGCACACCAGAACGCTAAATATGATTGTCAGTTCATCTTTGCTCAGATTTTGTCTTCATAGATAGTCAGACGTTTTCGTATGGCCCGACAGCGATGGAGGAGAACAGAGTGTACCGCATGTTAACTCTCCCCGAAAGCCTTCCACCCAATCAGGTCTAACTTGCAAATTCGGCCGCACAGTCCCGATCAGACCCTTTAGGTCTTATTGTAATCTGCATTTAACTCACAAGTCTTGTGATCGAACTGTTAGACGCGTATTGTTTGACCACATAAACAATAACTGGTTCCTTATCCTTTTCATCAATAATTCCCTTGTAGTACACTATATCTTATCTTGGTATCATGTATTGATTTTCTATAATACTTTTATGCATTTGGCCTGAACTGTTCAATGAGAATCGGTTGAATGCTAGGTGACCCTCCTTTACTCCAGGGTCACATCAATATCTTTTTGGTTGGTAATATATATTAGCCCCTGCTGTAGCTCATCGTGTGATATCTACATGAACAACACGTGTTAACTGACATTCCCGCAAGAATCACTTTTCGTTCGGCTTGTAGAGATGGGGGTAGGGAAATTGAACAACGATGTTATCGGTTTGTGCGCACGTGTGACTCCGTTTTTTAGGGCATTATTCAGTGCTCACAGAACACACCCACCTTTTGCGTCTAGGGGCGCATGACATTTGACCTCTGTCTATAGTGGATTAAAACAGGTGCGTTCAACGACAGACAGAAACACACGCTCTTACACACCCTCACGCAACCTAATTAGAATTCATTATTCATTCCTAATTTGCCAATTTTACCCTCTATAGTGTTATGATTCCCAAGCAAAGGAGGCGAGAGCGTAGGGCAAGAATTTCTCCTGGAATGTTATCTTCAGAATGGACCATTAAACTTTTGATGCTTAGTGTAAAATACATAAGTAGTATCACTTTGACTATGCAAAGCATACGGCCGTTCATGTCGTACACCAGAAGTATCTGAATGATGGTTTGGAACTCGGACCCAACAGGTATTGTTAGAGAAATGTGATTGGAAGATCTCATTGGTTGATTATCGTTCGACTGGATTTATGAGATAAAACTGTTCGGTATCCGTTTTCTTTCCAGTACTAACAAGTAACTGGACGGCATTTGAATAAATGTAAGCGATGGTGGCCTAATGGTCACTAAATTATCACCCCGGGATGAAGTATTTAAAGATATAGTTATCATGTTGAACAGTAACGTTACTCTTGTGTAGACTCAAAGGCCTCCTATTTGTCATACAACAATACTAATTAAAAAAATTAAATAATAAGAAATAGACTTGAGATAGAGGAAGGTATTGCGAGAAATACGTTATAATATTCTTAAATAGTTCCGGATTATCGGGAAAAATGCAAAACTGTAACGTCTGAGATTTCATTGTCAAACAATACTCCCGAGCACAAAAATCGCTGGAGTGAAGAAAACATTCACCGCGAAATGATGCAACTCTCTTGTGATATGCTTTCAAGTCAGCTAACTGAAGAGAAATAAAAGTTTGTTAAGGGGTTTACCTACAAACGTATTCAAATGTATTACTAAATAGGCCAGATTCAAAACACATCATATAGTTATGCAATAATAAACACCTATACCTAGAGTACGATTCAAAAAGTAACATCAAGACAACTAGTTAACAGCAATCGATCAATCATCACTAATGATGTCCTAGCTGTAAAATTACGTTGTATTACTAAAAAAACAACCACGTCATCTCAAAACCCACAGGTTCCTGAGTTCAGTCCTGACAGGGCTTTCAAAAGCACTACTGATGAGTTTTAAGCGGGCCGAAAGGGTATCCTAGCGCTCCATGTTGGTTTTCTTTGCCGAAATGTAACTATTATCTACCTCCGTTGATCCACAGGAGAAGTTTGCTGAATAAATTCACCGCACTTCCTAGGTTGTTAACTTCTTTATTCACAAATTGTCTGTTTGTGGTATTGGCATTCCTAAATTCGCAACCCCTATTTGCTGAACGTATTCGATTGTATTCGATGGTTATCAGGTTTAATGGTTGTAAACAGTAATTGCGATCTATGGATGTTTACACGTTATCCGTACCCATGACTATAGATAACGATCACATGATACAGTACGATACGGTTGTTCACCCGCTATGTGTCCAACGTGAGACAAAGAGAGAGGGAGGGGACAGTATAAATTCAGTGGATAGAATCGATCGATTGTAGTCGACACGATACATTGGTTTCAGTGTTAGTGAATCAAATAGTTTGTTCAAGCTGGGGTCAACAATGCAAGGTGTAAACATTGGAGTGGCACTTGCGTTCTGCGTTGTAGTTGTTGCCTTTTCTATTCAGTGTGAATGGGTTCAACACACTGGCTTTGTGCAGTACCATCTGTCGACCTGTGTGACCACTACATCCATGTACCATAAGCAAATAGTCTTTGACTGATTAAAATTTGCAATGGAAACAAGTTACACGTCTAGCTGGTGACTTCAAAAGCCATCGGTTTCTGTCCGAGTGTGGAACCACCGTCCGACAGCCCTCATACACAAGGCGCATCTGACAAGCTCCATTAGGGGATACGTACATATACCTGGAAAACCTGATGTGGTAGGATGTTCTCGGTCGGAGCTTTAGTGTCAGCTAGAGGACTATCAATCTCTGAGGTCAACACGTTCCTGAAGGTCTGTCGGTTATTCTGATCACCATCAATGTGACGTGGTTGTGGCAATCGTCACACACACACAACTTCCATGCGAGCTGCCTGGGTTCGAATCTAGCACAGGCGTGTTACTGAACACCACTATTGTACTCTAAGAGGAATGAAACTGGATTGTGGCACTTTTCTAGCATGGAGTTGACGGGATAAAAGGTTGAATATGAATGAAGATAGTGTTGAAATTATGGACATTCAGAACATAAAAGGGAGCCAGTGATTGCCCAACACAAAGCTGTCAAAGGTACATCCTATCGATTTCACTGGGAACAAAACACATGTCGACGAGGACTTATCTCAAATTACTATGCAGCTTTGATGACGGACACAGTGTAATTCCCAAAATTAAGCTATAAAATAGTTTCGTATTATAGTTCCATAGTATTGTGTCCGAATAGTGTTTGAGAAGGTGGTAATACAATGACAAAATTTGCCGACAGATAAAGCAGTGTTTATCCCTGTGCTTGTAAGCGTCAGTCCAAAATCGTGGACTAAACACAATCTTTCCCGGGATGGTGGTAGTATACGGTTTTCAAACTTGTAGTGTTTTAAACTTATTTTACCCACTTTTGAAGGCTTCCAAATTGAACGATTCAGTTCTGATCGAACGTGCAACTTGGTAACTGTGGGTATAGAAACTGACGTCAGTGTTTCCCTTGAACGTGGATACAAGTATCTGTAAGTTCACGGGCACGAAAACCGTGATACTGTGAGCGAATAATTTTATCAGTCCTTTTAACTCCTTTTTAGGCTCCAATACACGTGTGGACATCACCCCGTTGAACTCACGTCCCACTGTTTTCTTGTCGAAAATACCTTGCCCATTCCACGCCAGTTCGAGCCAGACGATTGGCAATCATAGCACGAAAGAACGAGAGCACCGAACTGCGAGCTCCTTCACGGACGAATATCCATAGCGCGTCGTTGTCGTTGCCAATTGTTGTTTCAAGGGTAACCTGAACCGGACGAAGTTCAATTGCAGGAAAGTGAGCAATATGTGATTTTAATTTTATAGTTTTATAGCTTTTACATATACAAACTATACGCCCATATGAATAGGCATCTACAGTCAGTCCCATTATTTGATCGACAATATGTGGAATTTTTATGAAACAACGTATTCTCCTTAGTATAAAAATGTTACGGTTTTCTACTTTATTCGACCCAATTCCATTGTTTGTAATTTTTGTCACAATGCATAAATTCCTTATCACAGTCTAATTAAACGGATTAAATATCGAATCAATGGATACGAAAGTCTATTATTATTTCATCGCGTCTTGGTCTGGCGATCCGTTTACACATTAAGACGCTCACTGGACCATGTGTTCTTCCTGCTTTACCATAAATTTTGTTTGCGCTTACTGGGGCATTTCTTGTGCTACGGTAATTCAATACATGTGTGCAACAACCACAAGTCTTCCAGTCTCACCAGTAGTATCTTGGGTGTTTGTGAATAAGGGAACTCTTTTTGAAGCTCGTTGTGACTGGTCGTAGTGGATGCGATTCAAACTCGTTTTATCTGCTCCGCCCTGAACTGACGCACTCGAGCACATTCATTTTATTGATTTTAGCCAATTGGCTTCTTTAAAATAGATGTCCACAGTCGATGCAGCTTCATACTTGCTTGACTGACTGCATTCTGTCCAAGAGTATCCCAAATTATGCATTTTTGCTTTTTGAAATAAAAAGTAATATTGCATTTTTATTGGTATATCTAATCTACTGTCATTATTATACCAAAATCAATTTATGCCTAGTCTGCATTATAAAATGCGTAATTGCTTCACCTTCCGGTACCAGTTCACATATCAACATAATAATAAGTCCTCCATGAATACTATAAACCAATGTTTAATGAAACAAGCCTTCTTATCACCTTTTTTCTTTTCATTTTCAAAATTTACCTGTCATCTATGAACATGCGAACGACTTGATAATTGCAGGTGCATCCAACAAACAATACTCGCTATCGTTTTCCGAATGGAACGAAAACGTATCAATAATCAAAATCCTTAACTAAATCGCTAAAAGCGTATGCTGAATTCTTTGTGTAAATGAGGCATGAGCTAAAAAGCCAAGAAGCACTGGATAGCCGTTTCGACCTGGTTGGGTCTCGTCAGCAGTGAGCAAATCCATTGACCCTACTGGGGACCGAATCCAGGATCTCGCAGGCGGAACGCAAGCATACTACCCACTCAAACACCGGGTCGCTGACCAGACCGTTTTTTCAATTTGAATATACAAGATATAGCACAACCCATCTTTGCAGACTTGTTGTGGGTATGGGGCCTCTCATGCAGCCCTACAAAAGGGTTCAGCTTCTCCCTCTTACTTTCCGTAGTCTGGGTGCCTTTACCGAGTTATCATTCATTCCTGATACTCTGNNNNACTCTGAACAATCGCTAACTTGTTTAAAGGTTACATCAAATTGGATTACCTTGCATTTTGTCATTGTTGTCTACTTCAGGTCGTTATTATCACGCACTGCAAGCTTTTATTGTAAGCCAATGGGAGGCCTTTGCATTTATGTTGCACGTGATTCAAGGGCTCTATTCAAATGTTTTCAAATGCACTCAGGTTTGTGATATCTTTTTGTTAAACCTACTCTTTCCCTGTCAACCTCCCCGTCTAAGATTTTTACTTTAATTAAATAATTAGCTCCTCTTTGCAGATATGATGCACGTAAGTGTTGCCTACTGCAGGGCTAGTTGCCTTGATTGTCAACCAGTACATTCTTACTTCGATTGNCTGTGCCATTCAACTCCAACAGACGCGTCGTTACTTGTGCATCCGATACTGTCTGGCTGTATGCCCAACAAACCATAGCTTTACACAAAATACCGTAGTGCGTACATATGACTTGATTTTGAGTTGAAAGCAATGCATATTAAAAGAGCTGAAACCGTACTTACGTGACTATGAAGTAGACCTGACATCCCATAGCATAAGCTTCTTCATGCTTCACAGGCACTACACAATACTGCGTAACAAGTAACTGCTCCGCGTTCAAGTAAGCTGAAGTCGAATGCATAATGTTTTCACTCAAAATCGGAAGGTGAGCAAAACATTTAGTCGAGGAGCAATCGTAAACTGAAAATTGAATGCCTAAAGACATCTGGATTCCATTTTGATTGACCCGCCTGTGATATTTTCATCACTGCGACTTGCGTAGCAGTGAATGGAAATGTGTTGTTTACTACTTGAGATAAATGATGCACGTTTATCAGTAACTTTCAAGCTCCCCGGTTTGATAAAGAACTGACCGAATTGCAGTTATTTAGCTCCTATTCTGTTTAGAAACTTTCACAAGGTATGTGCTGTTCAAACTGCTGCTGATTTTGCATTTGTTTCGCGTCCATCTTGTTTCATGATATGATCATCCTTCATCTGAATAAAAAATCAATAACAGCTGCTTCTGTGATAATCATAAATTCCAAAGACTAATTTTAAAATGTTGTAGTCTTTCATTTGTGCCATAAAATCGAACATAACATGATCCCAACAATCATCTACACTAGTTGTGAAGGTCAACAATTTATAGATTTTGTTATAAATTAGAAAAAATGATTATAAAATAACAATTTCTACTGTTTCACGCATTGCCTCGGAGTGACAAAAATAGTTCCATCAGCAATCTGACCAAAATGGAAGCCTCATAAAATCAACTCAATGTCTCATGTCACCGCAAAATTTGTACTCACCAACTTGGCAGCTGTAATGTAGAAATCATCGATAGATGACGTAACACTCGGATAAGATGAGAAGGATATGGCTTCTCCCGGTATTCGTCTCCCGTCTGAAATAAATTTGGGGGAGTCGGTGGAACCATGCGTATGTATGTAGAAGAGCAAATGAATAAGGCGCGTAAACTTATCAGCTAATCACACAGTGCAGTACAGTAAAAGGTATTGAAATTTGAACAAGAAACATCCATCTGTCATCAAGACCAATAAGCAAACAGGCAGTTCCTTCGCATGGTATTGGGTTAATTTTAGCTTTTTGTTCGTCCCAATGGAAAAATGTTTGAGTTGTAAAAGAAAAACCTTCGACAAAGCAGTTCAGACTCTAACTTCTGGAAGTCGGTCGCTGTAGGAGGTAGGAAATTCATGCAACTGAGCAGAAAATGCTTGCTTCACAAAAGAGCACATCAGGTCTAAAGTCTAGGTGAATCTCCGATTTTTATCGGCTTTCCTTCTCAACCCAGTTCACACCCTGTGCATTTTTCCTCTGTCTCTCAATCTGAACAAATGCAATTCCAAGATTCAGGGAGATTATAGCAACTTAAACTAATACAAGTCGGTTTGATCACCAGCTAGAATGTTTATGCTCCAGCTATTGGCATTCCGTTTTATGATGATCTTACGAACGTGGTGCAAGCGAAACAGCCCAACAGGCATACTTTAGGTGACCAGCAAAGTATTGTTTCCCGCTCGTGCTCGCTAGGCAGGTGATCTATCCAATCCATCAAGGTAAAACAACCGGATCATTCGTGTGTGTTGATCGGATGAGCTCTGGAGAGCAATAAAAGTACCCCATGACATTTGAACACCTATACCAAAACAAAATCCACAGTAATTGGGATATGATAAACTTCTGTCCCCTAGGACCAAATCACCACGCATCGCAAACGGTCCGCAATAGACAAGCGCTGTGTCTTGATGCGTCATTGTGCGAGAATTTATTTGACGAATGGCAGACAACGTATGACTTATTAGCTACCCCAAAACAGCACCTTCGGATTGTTTAGTGATCGCGAGTCTGTCAGTAGCCATAGATCAACACTAAGAGATCCGTAAATCTCTCCATTAAAAGATCGAATGTCCCGTCTGTGAAAACCGTCCACCCGACATTAGATTGTGTCAGACTCTTGTATAGAATGAATCTAATGTGTTTGAACTTCACTGTATGAAAGAAATTTGTTTATTTATGTAAGTTCATCACAGAATATTGCTAATTATTTCAAGCTGGAATACTACTCTTGCAACCTTTTCTTTCTTTATTTCCATTATTACCTCCTTTTGTTGAGTGTATAATGATCCAATTTTCAGGAAGCGGAAAGTGGGCAATCAAAGGGCTGCCGCAGACCAGACATAATGCGGAAAGGCATGTGATGATGGTGGTGGTGGTAGTAGTGGAACTGGATGCTCGCTGGGCAATAATTTGATCACCTTTACTACCGGGTTATCACTTCGCTGCAGACATGAGGCGACACGAGGTAGACACCTGATTTATCGGTCTTAGCTCTTCTGTGTTCATTTCAGTTCCTGATCTGAATTACTACAAAAAACCAATTGGTTGATTATCAGTTGATATCTTTCTGATAGCCTAAAGTCTGTTCCATGCGCAATGTTCGACTAATGTGGTAAACTTATCAAGTGCCAAATGATCAAATGGTTGGGTCACCAGCTTGTGACCTGGGAGCCCCGGGTTCGAAACGTTTCACCTATCTTCCCTAACTCTGTATTTTCCCAGGCAGACTTCGTATGGCCGCGGACCCCTTCCTCAAAGTTAACTGTGTATTTGTATATTTGATAAATAAAAAAGGTAGTAAAAAGACTATTTTACGGTAGCAAGTTTGGATTAGCCCATGCAATTGTTAAAGGGCACCAGGCCCACTTGATGATCTTGGGTTTGAGTTTCACTCCTTGGGAGATTGTTCATTCCCCACAAGTTCATGCATTTGAATGGGATGGAAATGTTTGTGAAAAATGTTTGTGTTAGAGACATTTATTTATTCATTTTCAACGATTGGATAACAGTTGACAATCGCAATAGTACAGGGATATTCCAAACTGATGACCGAATTATTTTTGTCTGGTTGCGGATTGAAAAAAACAATCGAAGTGCGGAAATCTGTCCACGTAGATTGCAACAATGATTAGAAGAGAAATCCACTGCTTGTAGACAAAGGTGAGAGTGAAGAGCGCATAGTAACCGGTCTTTCCTCATGCACCGGCGCTGCCTTTCCCCGAAGGGTGTGCCCGAGAAGTTAATTTCAATATTAAAATCACTTCATACTAAGAGCCAAAGTAGAGTTCCGGGCTTACGGCACTTTTTCGCCCGGGTTCACCAAGGAAAGTGGTGTTCGTCACGGTTCCCCTCTTTATCCTTTTCTGTTTAACTTTGTTATAGATCTGATTATGAAAACAGCTCTATCCTCGTGCTAGAATAGCGGTATCGATTTACTTCCAGGTGGCAGACTGTCTGATCTGAAGTATTCAGACGACATTGTGCTGCTAAGCAAAGATGCAGATAAGTTGCAAGCTTTTCTGGTTAGCTTGAATGCCAACTTAGCCATGTTCGATATGCGTTTTGCACCTTCGAAGTGTAAAATGCTACTACAAGACTGGTTTGGCCCAGCACCTAGCCTCACTCTAACCAGGAAAGTAATACAGCAAGAGGATAAGTTTTGTTATTTGGGCAGCTACATCTCACCAGGTGGACGCATCACGGAGTAAGTGTCAGCTCGCATACAGAAGGCTCGGTTGGCATTTGCTAACTTGAGACTTCTATGGCGCCATCGCAACATCCGGTTGTCTGTGGAGGGTCGAATGTATGCCGCAGCAGTTCAGCCAGTTCTGCTATACGGCACAGAAACTTGGTCATTAAGGAGGCAGGATAAGGATAGACTGTGGGCGTTTGAACACCGCCTTCTTCGAGGCATTGCACGAGTCTGGTGGGGCAACCGGACGAGCAATGTTGAGGTTAGGCGTAGAGTTTTAAGTAATCGCGGTCGTCGTCCACTGGAGCAAGTGGTCAACCTCCATGGATTACGTTGGTTGGGGCATGTCTTACGCATGTCACCAGATAGGTTGCCACGGCAAGCGATGTTTGCCGAGGAAGGCAGTGGTTGGAAAAATTTCAAGGGTGGTCAAGCTAAGACTTGGCATAAGGGTATGAAAACCCTAACCATTAGTCTGGGTCATATAGGTCCCGTTAGGCTCCCTGGCTGGGGACCTCGGGATGATTTTAATCGTTGGCTGGCGAGGCTGAGTTAGATAGCTGAGTGTCGTAAACAGTGGTGTTTGTGCATCTTCTCAATTTCTTTACAACCCTAGACCACTGAAATTCTCTACTTTCTTTTCGACGCTACTTTCAACCTTCCTGTCTTTCTCGAACTGCTTCATTCAAATTGGCAGCCAAAAGGCAGCAAACAAAACAAAAACAAACCGCACGAAGGTGTACGGTTAACGGTTGTACAAACTGAACTGGACAGAACAGTTTGATAACGTGATATACATGATATACAGCAGTTGATATGTATCTGTTATATTTATTGTTTTTCTCGCCCCTAGGGTTACCATTTTAACACAGGTGTTCAAATAATCTACCTCATAAGGGCATTTGATCCTATGTCTACGCCAATGTCACCCCGATGTAGGAACACACACACATGGTAGAAACCCAAACACGTCACTGACATTTCTTCCAACCAATCAAATGTCCACCTGTAAATATGCTCATGAACAACACACCCACTAACAATTTTTGTTTTCGTGGAGAGTTGCACAGGCCTTTGTGTATTGCATAAGTTGTCCTATATCGTGTTTCAAGCACATCATGGGGCAGAACTTTGACCACTTTATTTATGATCGATCTTGAATGTTGATTTCCACACAGGAAAGTTCAGCGTGGAAACATGATCAAGTTATATACTGCTTTAAAAATTGGGCGGCGGTGGCCCGGTGGTAACGTCACCAAAATATAATCCCGGGATGTGTGTTCGAATCCTACCACCACCACCGCCTGACTTTCCCCATTGCCTCTGTGTTGGATGGCAGCCCCGTTTGATTGGCCGCTTTCCCTTTCCTGAAAATTGTATCTTTGTGTATTCAATACAAAGGAAGTAAAAATGACAAAAAGAAAAAAAAAGAAAGAATACACGATCGCCCAGGAGTCCCGATTGAGCGCTTTAAGTTTGATGTCAGACCAGAAGTGCTTCAGTCAATTAATCATTCATCCGATGAGCGATTCGTCATTGTCTGCTTCCCCGATAAAGGATGTTTCTTTGAATGTTAATATGTTGTGTAAGTAGGGTGTAATCTTATTGCTTTGGACTGTGGAGAAACAGTTCTGGTAATGAATATCATATCTCACATATATTTTAAAGAAACGTATTATTAAGTCGCTCGATCGCAATACGACACTTCAGTTATGGAGGGGACTGCAGTGGCTTCAAATTTTACGACGGAAGTTTTCTTTTCTGTTTATTGCATTTCTGGTAAAGTTGAACAGACATGAGTGAATATATTTTCAGCGAGAGGGAATCCCTTCACTCAGTCTCATTGATGGACGATGTATGATTTCGGGATAGAAAATAAAATTGGAAAAAGTTTAGAAGGATTACGGTACGAGTAAGTGACAATTGAAATATAGAAAATGAAGTTTAAGTTTACAGGTTAGATAGATTTATATTTGCGGTTGAAACAAGATTGACCTGAGTTGGGCGATTGATAGGGTTGTCAATATCCATAACGGACAAGGGTCGTGAGCACGTGATTTGACACAGAATGCTTCGGGTGGATCAACCTTATAACCAACACCATCAATCACTTGGTGAGTGACTACTGATGCCACTTATGCATTAACCTTGGTTCATTAGGATGAGTGATGGGTAAATTCTCTGCTGTCCCTGTCCCCAGCATTCTGTCGGTTATTGCAACTGTAGTTAGGGGTATAATCAATACCAATGCGGTATTCGATGGTACTGTAGGAAAACATCATGCGTTACACTACAGATTCCATTCAAGTTTCCCACATATTATGGGTAGTTAACGTTTCTGAAAGGTAGATTGACTACATATAAACCGAACGAGTTAGATCACATTCGAAATCCGCGCCGGGAAAATGAACTTCATGAGCCGAAAATAACATTTTCTAGAAAATTGTGAAGTGAAACATTCATCCCCAAAACCGTTTGTTTCAACTCTAAATAAATAAATTCTGCTTAATTCTGAAAAAGCTGTGGGGTCCAACGATTGAATTCCAAAAATGCATTCCATCTACCCTATAAACTTCGTGCAATGGAGAAAACGAATATATAAAAAATAAATTTTTATGTGGGAATAGTGAAAATTTCAGGAGCATCAATGGGATTCGAATACACGTACTGACGTCATCTCCGCCACTATATAGCGCACGCTGTACGATCAGAACTACGAGGCAACACCGCGACACTGAATATTTAAGATGTAGATCACAGATACATATGAACTACACTTAGCCAAACTGGTCAGGCCTGCGCGGTACAAAAGCGCAGACAATGTCCATGCTTTGGTTCGAACCCCCACGAGGCCTATGAGCTTTTCACAACTCAAACGTAATACTCATAATCTGCCAAAAACACCATTTGAACAAAAATAACCTTTTTAATACATGTTCCTATTCCTTTCGTAGTTTGAAAGCTTTTGGACTGCATAACAAATCAGGAAAGAGATTGAAATCACCCGGGATGAAAGATGAAAACCACAATTGAGGCACTAACCCCCGTTTCGAATTTTCCACGGAAACCGATAGACCTTGAGCACACGCAACATGGTTTTGTAATTGGTCCAGGTCACATGGGAGATGAAAATATCCTCGGGGACAAGTTTAATCAACGCGGAACAGGACGGATGATCATCTTGCCGTGTGACTTTCTTGATCGGATCTTTGTAAACGTTATCCAATCGCAGAGCAGTTAGCAGTTCATCTAAGTCTCCATTCAGCTGCATAATGCTAAGAAGTTAGTGATAGTTGAGTAAGCATTTCCAGTATAGTAGAAAAATATATTAGCTAGACATATTCTGTGTTGAACGTTGTATATGAAATAGGTAGATTGACGGGTATAGCAAACGAGTACATTAGACGCTATTGCATTTCATTGTATTCAATCTTTAGTTAGTTACACATAAGCTTTCAGCCTAAAAAAGGCCACTATCCCCAAACTGGCAATAATAGGCCAGGAGATGGACATTAAGCGTGCAAAAATGTGGATTAAGTACTAAGTTCAGAATGAATACTCAAACTGTCGGTCAGCGTCCGGGCAAGATAGAGTACCAAGGCATTTCCGCAAGTAGTTATCCGAGAAAGGATTATTTTTGCTCTAGAACAGGTCATTTTGTAACGGATGGAAGCAATCAGATAGAATATTGCCATCAAACTTTAAGCTCGTATCAATATGAGCATCATCGGTACCGTCAATAAGAATAGATAAAGGAAATTGGGAAACACGGTTGATCATAGTTCACTGAACGAACGAATAGCTCCTCGTAGTTCCAGCACCTGGTGAAAATTCAGTTTTCTATTACAAAGTGCCTCTATTAATCACACGTTCACAAATTGAACCACACGGAGTGCAGCTATTCGTATTTTTGTCAACTTTATTTCTCCTTTCACACGAATACTACCTCATTTTGTGTTCATAGAATGCAGGGCTGTCTGGCTCACTTATAACCACTGTTCGAATCCAAAATTGCATGACCATCGTTGAATGTAACTGTTTATGCAAGCCGATTGCATCAATGGACTGTACTCACCGCGATTCATGCGCTTCTCAAGAAACTGTTCGGTTACTTTCAGGGAAAGTTAACTGTTTTTCACTGGTGCCTAGCTTAGCCTTGTATTCCCAGACCCGTTTGATATATACACTTCGCTGTCGATATGCAGATAGAGTCTGTTATCGGTTTTTCATGCAAAAACAACGTCCGCTATTGTTGTAGTTGAGCGGGCACCTTTTTGTAAAGAGCTGATATTCGAAAATCGGACGGAACTGTTTCCGAGTTAAGTGACTGTTTGTTTCAGAAACGATTATCTAGCACAGTTTAGCTTCTGTTAAAGTGACCACGTGGGTCTGAACGACCAGTAATCTAGCTACAAAGATGTGAAGTTTCCATTAACTGGACGGCTGTTTCATCCTCTTTGGGACTCGTCAGTAGTGCGTACTTTTTATGTCCCTATAAGGACTCGAACCGCGAAAATACGGGTACTTCAAACCTTTACTCTTGAGCTACATAGTCGACGGTCATCACACATCAAGAGTACCTGTTGCTTCTGAGCAATCAAATGGGTTAATCCAAGCTGGATACTCTAAATTTTCAGTGACGTATTTCTAAGGAAATCGTTTAAAACTAATCATTCCAAACGAGGCTTTTACCAACCTTAGCTTTCAACCTTCTTCTGAGGATCTCGTTCTTCCTATCACAATAAAGCATTCCCCAATCTCATTGGTTATATCCCCACTTCCTCCGTCTATCAAGTCAAGCGTTGGGTATGAAACGACCTACATGAACGGAGTCAAGTGGCAAGTGCGTTTCCTCAAATAGCCGAATCCATACCAGCAGGTGATCGGACGGACGAATACCGAGAACAAGAGCCACATTCAGTTTTTGATCCGGGTACAAACAAGAAACTTGCATCGTTCCATATCAGCCATCTACTGATGATCAGCATGGCTGGCTGCTTCGCAGTGTTTCCTGTTGTTTTTCTAAATTCCAGTATGCGCCTGTTAAGATTGACCTAACCCATGCTTATTCGGTACCCAAAAACCCTTTGCTCCAGCACTAAAAGGATATTCAACTCACTCTGGCCTTATCATGATAAAAGCGGGATAGCAAAATACCAATATATTAACCTCTCACATGTGATAAATATTTCTTCTTTGTACAAAGCGTTAGCCGAATTTCGATAGAAAAATAAGTCAGAAATCGTTTCATGCTAAATTGCAGGTTTGCAATTGTCAATCGAAATGCGCTACGGTTTGTGGTTTTGAAAATTATTGCAAATTTAGTCTGTAGAACAATACGCAAAATATGAGACTTACTAGATTCCAAACACATCATCCTTCAATCCTTTTGGATAAGCGTGTGTTAGGACTGAGGAGTTGCGTACAAATCGCTTGTGGTAGGCATCCGACATTCCCTTCAATTGCCATAATTGCAGGCCAACCTGTGGGGTTACGGTGGAACCAGATTGAACATATGAACAACCGCAATTCGTCCCAGTTACGGAAAATCCGGTGGTGCAACAACACTGGATCAGACGATTCTCCAAATAACTTTTATGAATCTCACCTAGGTGCTTCATTTAACTCCAGGTAAATGTCTTGAAAAATTCTAACCTCTTTTTCTCCGAAAGTTGTGGTTAATTTCTGGTTTACATTTTGTGGTGGATTCTGTAAATACATATTTATAGTTCGGAATTACTTCGATGAATAGAACAATCTTTCGCTAGGGAAGCAATCAGCGAGATGAAAAGCACTGTTCTGTTACGGGAAGATAAGAAAAAAAATGCATTTTTAAAAGTGGGTCGATACGATTGTGATTGTGACCTCGATTGCATACGTATAGTATGCATGAAAGTAACAGTAAATTAGACATATGGGGTGAAAACGGAGAATCGCAAATACATTTCTGTTCAGCTTCCTTTGACGCGCAGGCACATTTGCAATGTTTACGACCGAATTCAAAATGATCCTATGCTAAACCAATGCATAAATTACCGTTTAAGCATTGCTCTTATTGTACCACTCCCTCTCTTCTTACAACTTCGCATTATTCACTAGCGAGGAGCTCATACATCAGAAAAATGCCGGTAAACTAACCAGCGAAGACCACAATTTGATAATCAAATCAATGGAGGTAAATGTTTCACCCAACCTGACAGGTGAGTTTTCAAACTACAGGAAGAAACACAGAAGACTAAACAAATTAGTGTTTAGAGATTCTTGATCATGTACGGTACTAATCAGATATAAAAGAGAACACTGGTTGACAAAGGAGAACGTGTCGCAAACTACAGGAATTGTGTTTCTTCTTAAGATTGCCTGGGCAGTTCACAATGATCCGGAATTTGTTCGTTCCTCGAATCTTTCAGTCTCGTTGTGATTTGGGTTGCATGTTTTGAACCATGGGACTTCGGGTGCCCGAATAAATTCGTGTTTCGCACACACGGTGCGCAAGCAGTGTAACGAACGATAAACTGGCATTGATAGTTTGCCTCAAACAGTTAGAGGACCAAAACTTAAGCGTGACTGACTTCGGTCTAGTATGAAACCACTGTCATCTTGAAGGGCTGGATTGCCGTAGCCACGCAGTATATAGATCCTCGCTCGGTTTGAACCAACACCTAAATGTGTGGTTTATGTAATTTGTTCCCCAGGAACAGGTAAAATGGGATACGGAATCCGAAATGATTGACCTGGACGTGAGCTACAAGCTGAACCAATAATCATGACTATTTTCTCCTTGAGCGGTACAAAGCAGAAAAAATGAATGAATTTGCACAGAATATCATTTGAAGCTATCTAGCGTGCGACTCAAATCTCTTTGTTGCAAGTGGCACCGATATCGCTACAAATGTTTCCCGTGTATATGAGCGGCCACTTCCTCAATACGAATAAATTGTCACTGTATCCTCTGAATTTGCCGGTGGTCTTCATCCTCAAACCCAATCACTCCTTGGAGCCAACGCTAATATCAGGCCGTACATCTTAAAACCAAAGAAAAATGCAATTTGATTCTTTTTCCGATTAAACTACCCCAGTCATCTGTTCGTGACGGGCCACAAATCTGGCATCCTTGGCACATACATGAACAAAGTTGTTTTGTAGATCACAGTCATTGGAATCACTTGTCGAAACCTTGTATCTGGATATTCATCAATACAGTATAGACTGCTGCTGTGCACGATCGGTCACTGAAAACTGTTACAGTGCCCATCCCAACTACACAACCAGATTATGTTTTTAACGAGGACATGCGCGCAGCCTCTTTGAATCGAGTGTGAGTCGATTGGATCTTTCACTGAACCCTCTTTTCTTCATGTTTGCTTTTGAATTTTTCCTATCTTACAGGTCGTTTGGAGGCTCCCTCCATGGAGAATCTACTGTGAGAATTGTGTCTTATCTGTGTATTAAGAGTGTCGGTAAGTGGCCAGGGATTGCGCGGCCTTTTGCAGACAACGCTAGTTCTATAAGAACTTGGACTGTGTTGCCCGGAATCAAAGTGCCAGTGTTTTTCGAGTGGATGTAGAAATAGGGTCGGTCCTACATGCCACATATTATCATAAGTAACAAGACTATCCGATGTAGTTAATATAATCACTAAAACGCTCAAATCACGAACATTAGACACGCGTATGACCATCTCTTGTGTTGACGAGGTCAAAGAGAATGACATCACTAAGACTTGCCGAAAATAATTAGGGGTTATCATATGTCCAACGATGAATAAACTGACCGTGGATAAGATTGTATCTCAGTTCAATGCGCTGGAGCGGAGGGAGGAATAGGCAAATCCAAATGTGTGGGCAAAATAGTTCGACATCAAACCAATTGAGATCAAGAAAGTTGCCAGTCAAACAACTCATTCGCTTCCCAGTTGCTTCACAAAAGCCAACAGCCCTGTTTATCAAAGGTTCCACGTTGTTTGCTGGAACCACCTCGCATTAACGGGACGTTTATCTTAGGAGAAGGCAGTGGAAACGGATCTTGAAGACAGGTTTAATGTCCTTATGCAAGTGTATCACAAACAATCACAGTTAATCTAATTTTTCAGCTTTCTACCGCGGTCTTCAGATGAAAAGGGCGGCATGTTTCGAAGGTACAGGGAGGTCAGACTCGTATAACGATCAGGAATAAAGAGGATATTGAATCGAAGGAGTTCTTGGTAAGCCATAGGATTGAAGCTCTACAGATACCGCAAACATTAAGACTAGAATGGTGTGGTATAAAAACACGGAGAAGATCGTAATAGTACACCAGAGATAGTAACGCGGAAAACGTTTTACCAAGGATTATGTTGTGAGTGGTGTTGCGGGATAAAAGCTATTCATTGATTGAAACCGACCATCCTTTATAATTTACCTTCACGCACATTCCTCAGCTCTTCCATTTAACCATACACCAACATCGAACCAACATCGAGTTTTGCTCTTATTAGAGCGCATCAGCTGTGTATATCCACTATCCCGTCAGTGATTTTAACTCCCCTAGAAGGCGAATGTGTCACCACTATGGAAAACAGCTTATGTCGGGGTGGAACCAAATCCCTAATTCATGCCATATCTCTGAGCATAAGATGGATATGCACTACTGATGAGGTCTAGTAGGGGAAAACCTCGAGTCTAGTGCTTCCGAGTTCATGATTGGCTGGAAGAACCAAAGAACGTCGTCGAAACGATGATTAGTTTCAATCAATCAATAAGTAACTTTTGGAAACTGGCATTTTATTTCAAACGCTATGGACACCAATTTATCCTGCAAACCCGCCAAAAGGACAGATAGGTTCGAACACAAATTGTCCTTTTTGTTCTGACCGTATTTCTTGTTACTTGAAACGTTCCTTCCAACAGTGAGCTTCTCACAGAGTAGGGAAATGGGGAGGATTTGGTTCGGTCTCCGAGAATGTTTAACCCCTAACCGGGGTGATTGTTTGTTTAACTCACCACACATCTCCTTCATATCACGATAGAGCTGAACAGACAGTTGCAAAATGTTCTGGAGAATTGCCCTGTTCCTATACTGGATCCCATTTTCTACTTGATCGCGTTCGCATGTATCAATGTGAACAGGAATCGCGGACAACAGTTAGTTTAGTCAGTCTATGTTTTCTACATCAGATACGCCGAAAAGAATAAAGTTTGTCAAAAATAAAGGTAGTATTATTTTACTTACATGATACCAAAATTCGTCACCGAATCCACGGTATATAAAGTTCTCCAACATGTAATCTATGTTATCCGATAACCATTGCTTCAGTTTGACACAATCGGCAGTTAAAGGTTCTTCACACAGACCTGAAGTGTGATCGAGAATACAGTGCACGATTGGGAGGACAGATCAAACCTTTAGCGGTATTTGTGAAATGCGCTCTTGTCAAGTCGTAGGTGATGTTCGTCTCCAGAAATCCGGCCCAGTATGCTTGGTATATGTCCGGAAACTGGTCTGACGTGATCACGGACAAAGTTGACCATCTATACAAGAACATTCATATTGAAGCAAAATAACCAAAAATGATAAAGCGAATGGAAACGGGAAGCAATTTACCCGGTTTGGTTTATCTGATTCTCGTGTGTGGCCATTGCGATCGTTGGGAAATCGGTGGTGAGCTCGTTTGCTTGAAGTTGAAATATAGATGCATTGGAAGTTAGAAAAAAAGGTTCTTGTACAATACCTCTTACATACTAAAACATATATATAAACCAATTTTTGTTTTCTTTTACTACACACCATGTTGAATTTATTTTTGGCATCGCACCCAGAAAAGGATGCATTCACGCCACTGACTTCCGTTTCAGACCATATCCCATAGAGTCTAGTAAAAGACAATCGGAATTTTTGGGACCCCAACCGGCGAGCCGGGAAGCCAGATCCGAGCACAATCTCTTTAACAATCTACAACATATTATAGCTTGCTCACTTCGTCGTTCCCTCTAGCCCGGACTGATATCTGCATATAGTGCAAGCTATGACAGACGGTGCTCACGCAATCGTAGCACGTGCCCTAGCCATCTCAGACGATGCAGTGAACTGATTTTTATCGATGGAACTGTCTAGCCTTAACACACGTCGTCTGACCTCATCGGTACCCGTGTGATGCTACCACTATAGACGGGTGTTGTTGCGCAGATGGTTGTCGAATAATGATAGTCGTTGGACATGGCCTGCTCAGGGAAGCCAGGTTTCCAGGCCATGGAGCAACACGGTGCGTACAGTTGCGCAATACACATGCACTTTCACAGAAAGGGATATGATGCTCTGGCGCCAGAGATGTCGCTAACCTGGCTTTGATCACGCTTTGAGAGATATCCTCGCCCACAACTCCGCTAGCCGTTATGCAACTCCCGAGGTAAACAAAGCTTTTGACTACTTCCATGGTGTGATTACCCAGTGAAAGTGCAGGAGTGGGTTCCTTCCAATGGTGTAACAACACTTTGCACTTTGAAGGTGCAAAGGACGTACCATAGTGAGTAACCTCAATTACCAAACGGTTCATCGGTTCTTGAATCGTTGGTGTGTTGTCATCCAGTAAGGCAATATCATCGGCATACTCTAAGCCTTCGACTCTGTCTCTAGGAAGAAGCTCGACGCCAGCGCTCGTTACGTTATGTAACGCGTTTTGTAGAACGTAATCGGTGGTGAATTTGAAGGGAAACAGAGAGATTGGACAGCCCTGGGGTTACACCTCTTCACTTTTTTATTCATATTTTTTACGTATAGGCTGTAGGTTGGATTCATGAATGAATATATTTGTGTATTGTTAGTCAACCACGAAAAGCACTGACGACCAGACGATTCAGTTATCGTTTCCGTACAGACTCGCACAATAACATGAAGCACCACCGAAAAGTCCCGTCAATGGTGAATCAGCTAAACAGCATTGTTTATCGATCANATCGATCATGTAGGAAAGAACTTACCGTGGGTAGGAAAAAACGAAAATCTCGCGAAAATAAGTTTCAGCCGTTGGAAATGAAATCAGCTTTCGATTAGCATAAAACACCATAAACATCATGTGATAACTTTCAATTGCGATTTCTGCTCCTTACGGATACAAGTTGGCATCAAGCAATTGCATATTCTATTATCCAATTGCACTCACATTTAATAGATAAGAATCTTGAATTAAGACTAATATTTCGAATCAGCTAAAAAGTCAATATCCAAATAAATATTAAAAAGCAAGCTTTCAGGTGTGTGTGCAAGCATGTTGCGTAATAACGACAATAAATATGCATGCATGATCCATGGAAAAGCTTACTACTGATGAAAGAGAATTCATAATATCCGAACGCTTTTGAAGCAATAATGAGCGCCTTGTTCGGATCATCCGCTCGGACCAGGGCACAGAATACTTCCAACAAAAGGAGCGATACACATGCCAGGATCATAATCGGACCGTGGACGAAGGCGACCTGCATCCGAATGGCCATAACGGATCGCAATGTGAAGGCCCAACCGCGACGTACCAATCCGCTTCAAGGTCAGTATCGAGCGTATGTACCAATGCTGGTGGACGCACTCTAAGTGTTTATGCACATGACACGGATTCGCTCATCAATCGCAGTGCTTGATGGCCATGTTTCATGCACAGTTAACATGGAGTACTCGGAGCGATGGGTACTTCACATGTAGTCGATAAATGCAAGGCAATGCTACGTGGGATGTGGGAAACATATGTAAGTACGTTCGGATGAACTGCAAAACGAGAATAGTTATCTGTAATCAATATGTAATGACTTCATTCACAAAAATAATAGAGCCAAAGGACTTGGAGTTCTTTCGTAACTAAAACGATATTTATTGATAACACTGAACCAAGTAATTGTTAGAGGTACACTTTTACCTTCAATCCAACTGGAGCAGTGAACAGCTACTGGAACTGGCGTTTCCATGAAAAAATGAAGCAGAAACATCAGTAAATATCTACTTCAGCGTATTAAAAAAAACATTTTTATCAAATCTCTGCAATGTTTAGTTCATCCTTATCTTGCCAGTCGAATTTCCTCTACTCTGTGATGCTGAATGGTCCATTACTACCCTATTTTTTACCCCAAGATTATTTCATTGATCGAACTCACTTCACGAAGTTTCTTGGAAAAAAATCTGACTCTCTTCCGGCCAATTCATAAGTGCTTCAGAAAGAATTTTGTCCCATTTTCTTTTCACTTTCTGTACTCGAAACTGATCCACTTATCTAGCTCAATGTTTTATCAATTACACCGATGCTGTCACCACGGGTTCCGAATTCCACGGCGATTTCTTTTTTTCACAGCTCTAAATCAATTAATCCACTGCGGAGATGAATTCGTCGTGTATATAGCAGATGAAACGTGGTTGATATCACCTTCGAAGTTGCACCAAATCCTCCATTACTCACTTCAAATAGGTAGTTTGGTCATGAAAGTTTCCAACCGAGTCATAATCCGTTTGTGTGAGCATTCACGGCAGATTTATGCTCCGGAATAATTATCCATCAAGGAATTCCGACGTTTCTTGATCGTGTCATATTATCCAAATTGGATTCTTTTACCTATTCCTTTTTGAAGATGTTCATTAATTCATTTATAAAAATATGTCACATCACCTACATGTTAAACCTTCGTAAAGGGCAAATGATCAAGCTGTTAGCATCCTTAATATTTTAACTCACACCCTTGATGACTGATCGTGTTGTGCTCTGGGAGTGGTTTATTGTTGTTGGTTGTCGGCAACCGAAAAGCTGAATCACCCAGTCACCCCATTCAGTGAATAAGTTAATTGCAATATTTAGATATTTTATTTGTGTTTACACTTGTGAACCGAATGACAAATTACTATTCTGCTTGCCAAACAATTCATGTGCCTTCAATGGATAGCCTCATTTGACCGCAAATATCAACTTCGATGAATCCCGCTCCGGTTTTCGATAGTCAATGCACGTTCGGATCAACAAAGATGCTCGCATTCGGTCTCTATGGTAAATCCTCAACGGTATCACGCATTTGTTTACGACACGTACTAAAAAAATACATGGGGATGCACAAATTCATTCAGCCACTCTGGCGTAAACTACGTTATGTTCGTTTGTGGTCACTGAGATAGATCGTGCTCGTTGTTGTGTACTAGGGCTGAGCGAAACGTTTCCGGATGCACAGTAAATTTGATATTACACAAATTTGGCATTGAATTTTCTCGAGGTATTCCCTACCAGCATTCATGCGCAACTTCATTTGTCGAAACAGCTCCGCTATACTGAAGCGACTAACCCCTCGACCAGTTTAATGTAGGCCTTCACCACAGTTGTTGGTGACTCGTATCGGATTCCACGTATCATGTGCTTGACATTTGGGAACATAGTGACTCTTGAAGGTGTGTCATTACCAAAGGCAGCTCGCAAACGATCAACTCTCTACTGCTGCTGCTGCTTTAACTCACATTTGTGGCCGTAGAAAATCATCGCCCTCCAGTGACATCGATCGAATTCCATCTTTACAGACCTGGTATAGCGACCCTTATGTGATTTATGAATTGTGCTCGGTTGTTGATATTTGCTTCTTTGGCGTGAAATCAATAAACCATGCTCACCAAAGATTACAATTCACCTCTTTCCTTGCCTAGTTCATTCGCATCTCGTACTAGTGTACTGCGTATCCGTCAAGCGTTTTGCTGAGCCCTTGTACAATCGGCGTGTCGTTTGGATTTTTCCACTCTTTCCTCGAATGCCGAGGAAATAAAATGGCGAATTTCTATAGCTCGATCATTCACTTTTCGCTGATGACCCGTTTCGGAGCCGATTGGCAAGCACAATACTGATTCTGAATCGTTCCAAAAAGTGCAGAAGATTTCAAAGTAAGTTGAATTCAATGGAGCTTAGTCGTACTGGTTCATTCGAGCTATACCCTACAAAATTCATTCTCAGAACTTTGTGACATATATATTGTGATGGAAGGCAGCGGCGGGATGTGCCTTGCGAGACAATGTTGACTGCCACCCGAAACGAGCGAATCGAAAATTACAGCCCGACAGACAATCCGCAGCTAACGGGAAAGATACCCACCGAATGTCACAACGTCCGAGCTGTCGCTCAGAGCATCTAGCGCCGCGATCGGGTCAAACCAGTCGGAATGGCACGCGGAAGAAGAGGCAACGTACATGCCAAGTGCGGACCAAGACCAACAAGGAATGACCCACAGAAAGAGGCATGAATCATCCCGCCGCGCGGTTGAGAATTGACTGTATATAATCGAACGCATACACTGTTTGTTTTGAATTGGATCAATAGACATTTTCCCAGCCAGCTCGCCTTCTCATTACAATATGACATATTGGAAATCTCCAGTAGTTCCGTTAAACAAGTTGGTTACTCTTTGATTGACAAGAAGGCCTATCGATAAGTCGCGAGCAGGAGTGAGAGTTGGACGATTGTTGTATGACCGTCAATAAGACGACCGTAAATTGCGTGAACACTCGAAGTTAATTGGGTTACAATAGC